GATGAATTTCGTAGCGAGTCGAGTCTATCTTTTTGTCGAGGGTCGAGGGTCGAGGGTTCCATGTCGAGGGCGAGGGTGCCATGTCGAGGGTCGAGGGTAACATTTTTTTTCCAATTTTTTTTTTTTGGAAAAGGTAATAATCGATGCAATCAATGTCATTAAAACAATAAGAAGAATTTAAAAAGCAAATGGCGCGTGAACATCTTCTAGTTGTTGGTTGAGGGGGAGGTGGAATAGAGAAAAGCTCCGGGACATCCATAAAGAAAATGTGATGTTGTTGTTGTTGTTGTTGTTGTTTAATCAAAATAGTACGTGGACATTCGAATTCGCTTCAAAGTAAAGAACCTTCTCCCTTCCTGTGAAGGAAGACAGGTTGTCCCTAAAAAAAAATATCATAGAGCTTAGGCAGGGGCACCGAACGACTGTTTTCTGTAAAATATCTGTTCGGAGAAGCAAAAACTGCCTACAATTTTCTGTTACTTGAGGAAGGCTAAAAATTTCTAGATGGCTGTTCCATTCATGTACAGTTTTCGTAGCTTATCTAATTAATTCCCTACGATTTTCTAAAGTTTAGTTTTTCACATTTCAGCCCCCAACTTAGCCTATTTTTCGTTGAAAAAGGAAATCTAAAATTTTCGGATTAGAAAATGCGATGGAGAGAGGAATTAGAAAAGTTCTCACTTTCGTAAAACCTAAAATTGCATCTAAAATTTTCGGGAAAATAATACTGAGGTGATTTCGAAAAGGTTCAAGTTGCCCCAGGACGACCGAACAGGTACAACTTTTGTAGCGCCGCTTAGAATGCATTTCTAGAGATTTGAAAGTGCTCTGGGTAAGCGAAAAAGTGTTTTCAATGCATTTAGGAGGTAACCGTGGTTAGGTGCCCCTGCTTTACGGCTTATATTTCAGTCACGTCTGCCTCTTCTCTGCCTTGCTTGGCTGTTCAGTGGGGTAGTTTGAATATGGATATTTCACCGATTCTTGTTTTTTAAGCTATTCCACTGTATGCGATCGAATTGTCGTGCTTTCAATGAAGTAGAAACTCGCCATGAAATTTCAAAATACAAGTCATCGATAATCACCGACACCGGAAATCGTGTCCTAGGTACGAAGGTGCGTAGCTAGAGTAATAATTTAGATGGTTGATGCTGTCGCCCGAGTCCCGCCGCAATAATAAATAAAATTACCAACGTTATGTTCTGCAACTTTAAAAGTGTATCACTGCAGAAATTTGAAATACCCTGAAACACAAAAGGAACGCAAAACCAACACTTATCGGCGCAGTTGATGGCGGCACTGGGACAATAGGAAGTCATGTGGCGAAACTAATTTTGTACACATCTTTATCCCTAGTGTGCATTTCAAACAGAAATCAGAGGTAACTGCGCAAAAACTTTCTTCACAACGGCTTCAGCGATTATTTCCTATTTTGCACGAAAAGGGGAGCTTTTATTCACGAACAGCGATCACATCGAAGCAGACCGATTATGCGAACTTTCAAAAAAAGAAAAAAAGAGTGTACACTATATGAATATTTAAAGAAAAAAAATTTCGCAAAAGACAGACATGGAATACACTGTCCAGTTTCTTGCATGATGTTAAAAGTAGTAAATTTACATCAGAAACCACCGAAAAATAAATCACAGAGAAAGCTTGAATTGAAATACCAGGGAAAATATCTTCAAAACAGAACCAAAAATCACTCCACAAACCCAATGGCATTTTTTCTTGTCCGACCGACCGAAAAATTGTACAGGAATGGCCTTGTGTGACGTTGTAACATTTCACACAGTTAAACAGAAATTGCAACACAGTCGATTTTTTTTCGGGAATAAAAAACTTGTATTCACGGTTCAAGATAAACGGCATTGTCGCAGTACTCCGTTTTTTCCTATTCATCTCCAACTTGGCAAAAAAACAGATCTTTAGTAGAAATGTCTCAAATGTAAAACAATTAATTGGATCAATGGGAGACATGGACCGTACGTCTGTTTTTTTCCTATTCACGTCCACCACGTCCACGTTCAAAAATAAATATGACCGATTGTGGCCTAGAAAGATACAAGATATATTGTATTTTAATGGGAAAGCGTCCGCAAATGCCGATGTTCACCTCACCGAAAGTCGCTACCAGGCATTATTCTATTTAAAACCTCTGCGTTAGTGGGTGGCGATTTCCATGCGAATTCGCGCATTTTAATAGTTCTGCAAAAAGATAGACTCCAACGATTGCATTGTTCGTTTATGACACATTTTATGACACATTTTACAACGCAATAAGAGTTTTTTCCTTCCATTCCTCCCATTCCCACCCAACAACTAGAAGATGTTCACGCGCCATATGTTTTTTAAATTCTTCTTATTTGTTTTTTAAAATGACATTGATTGCATCGATTATTACCTTTTCCAAAAAAAAAAAATTGAAAAAAAAAACGTTACCCTCGACCCTCGACATGGTACCCTCGCCCTCGACATGGAACCCTCGACCCTCGACCCTCGACAAAAAGATAGACTCTAGCGAGTCAGGGTCTATAATCACCAGTGTCTACGTCTAGTCGCCCGACTGGTCTTCGGGTGCCACACGGGGAGTCCATGACCCAGTTGCCGAGTCTGCTTCTGAAAGTTTTTGCGCAGTTACCTCTGATTTCTGTTTGAAATGCACACTAGGGATAAAGATGTGTACAAAATTAGTTTCGCCACATGACTTCCTATTGTCCCAGTGCCGCCATCAGCTGCGCCGATAAGTGTTGGTTTTGCGTTCCTTTTGTGTTTCAGGGTATTTCAAATTTCTGCAGTGATACACTTTTAAAGTTGCAGAACATAACGTTGGTAATTTTATTTATTATTGCGGCGGGACTCGGGCGACAGCATCAACCATCTAAATTATTACTCTAGCTACGCACCTTCGTACCTAGGACACGATTTCCGGTGTCGGTGATTATCGATGACTTGTATTTTGAAATTTCATGGCGAGTTTCTACTTCATTGAAAGCTTAAAAAACAAGAATCGGTGAAATATCCATATTCAAACTACCCCACTGAACAGCCAAGCAAGGCAGAGAAGAGGCAGACGTGACTGAAATATAAGCCGCAAAGCAGGGGCACCTAACCACGGTTACCTCCTAAATGCATTGAAAACACTTTTTCGCTTATCCAGAGTACTTTCAAATCTCTAGAAATGCATTCTAAGCGGCGCTACAAAAGTTGTACCTGTTCGGTCATCCTGGGGCAACTTGAACCTTTTCAAAATCACCTCAGTATTATTTTCCCGAAAATGTTAGATGCAATTTTAGGTTTTACGAAAGTGAGAATTTTTCTAATTCCTCTCTCCATCGCATTTTCTAATCCGAAAATTTTAGATTTCCTTTTTCAACGAAAAATAGGCTAAGTTGGGGGCTGAAATGTGAAAAACTAAACTTTAGAAAATCGTAGGGAATTAATTAGATAAGCTACGAAAACTGTACATGAATGGAACGGCCATCTAGAAATTTTTAGCCTTCCTCAAGTAACAGAAAATTGTAGGCAATTTTTGCTTCTCCGAACAGATATTTTACAGAAAACAGTCGTTCGGTGCCCCTGCCTAAGCTCTATGATATTTTTTTTTAGGCACAACCTGTCTTCCTTCACAGGAAGGGAGAAGGTTCTTTACTTTTAAGCGAATTCGAATGTCCACGTACTATTTTAATTAAACAACAACAACAACAACATCACATTTTCTTTATGGATGTCTCGGAGCTTTTTCTATTCCACCCCCTCCCTCAACCAACAACCAGAAGATGTTCACGCGCCATTTGCTTTTTAAATTCTTCTTATTTGTTTTAATGACGTTGATTGCATCGATTACCTTTTCCAAAAAAAAAACATTGGAAAAAAAATGTTACCCTCGACCCTCGACATGGCACCCTCGCCCTCGACATGGAACCCTCGACCCTCGACCCTCGACAAAAAGATAGACTCTGTGGCACAGGGAATTTGACGATTTCAGCTTATTTGTGTAGGCGCTTAGCAGCTCGTTCCATGACTTCACAGCATAGTGCATCGCAGTAAATCCCTATATTGTACACTGTTAGCGGTAGACGTTATTCTCAGTCTTTTGACATTTTTGATCAACACCTCGCGCTACACGTCAACCACTACGTCTACGCACTTGCTGCGCGAAGTTAGTTGCTTTAAGCGACCACATGGAACATAGCTCCAGAGGAGATCTACAACTTCTGTACCCTGCCGTTTCATCGAAACTGTCTGTAATGTCCTCCGTTTATGAGAAGACACACAGGGCTTGCACTGTAAGTATCCCGGAGAGCTCCATACAATTCCTTATAATTTTGTTATATGGAATTGTATGGAGCTTTCGAGGAGACTTTTCTTAATTAGCTTGGGCGCGACGGATCTTGTCACGTATGATCAGCGCGAGGTGTTTCTCCCGACACCCTTCTGTCAGGAAAATGTCATCATATGAAAGCAAAACAGACACGATCGCGTCGGCAGGCCGAAGCCGGCAAAAATAAAAGGCTTTTCTTCTTCCATTTCAGAGGTCAGTTTTGTTTCGATCTGGTCAAAAATCAGGTTTTTAGGTTGTAGGTAATAAAATATTGTCTTAAGCTCCCTTACTGTATAGTGTTGAGTACTCGATGGAAAGAAAGTCGACTAAACGGTGTTTAAACCAGCCGTAGGACACAGAGTGGCTATGAACTAAAGGTAAGGGAGCTTTTTGAATCAATATTTCGCGTGATCATGATTTTTTTTCCTTAGCGTTGTAGATTCGAATACATGTGATAAAATTCGATCAATAAGGGCCCGAATCACATGTAATAATGCAAGAAATATCGATTTTCGTTATCTTAAAGGCTACTAGTACCGATAGACAAACAAGAAGACTTCATATCTTTAAGACTTTTTGCATTTATTTGGCATCAGATAATACACTAATAATTCTAGTATATTCCGACCGAATGACCTCTGAAGCCCAAACCCACAAATAGTGCGCTTGGGCTGCCTGTGCTGTGCCGTGGTATAGTGAGGAAATTGCCGCAAAGAGACTAGTCTGCTACACAGTCGTTTTTAGTGCCGTCACGCAACGCTCCTCCCCACTAACGGATGCTGAAAACCGAACCACATTCCTTTCCCTTTGTTTTTGTGGTCTAACGAACAAACCAATCATGTATAAGAAACTTGACAATACGTGAGCCGCAGGGCGCTAGGAGCGAGCACGCTTCTCATTTTTCGACAAATCAATCAATCGTCGCTGAATTTTGATGGGCTCTGTGTCTAAACGCAAGGAAAAGGTTGTTTGCAGAAAAGTTTGTTTTAAGCGGTTAACAAAATTAAAAGTGAAAAAAAAAAAAAGTTTGATAGGCCTGCAAGACTCTTCCAGGATCGGTTAGTTCTTTTTAACGTGCATATGTATGATGAATTTCATGTGCCGGATGTGCTCATTGTGTGTTCTTGTACATGTGAAGACTGTGAAGATTAAACTCTCAGGGGTACTGATTCAAACAAAAGCAATCTTATGAATTATCGATAAGCGATTTCCCGAAACTATACGCGGCAATTTTATATGCACATAGATGTTGTGCACCATATTTGCTCGACTTGCTTGCTGTTGCTGCTTATCTCAAAAATTTTGAAAGGACTCGACTACGACAACACTACTCTAGTTGATTGCTTGTTTTCACGCGACGATTTTGATTGTTCTGTCATTCACACATGGGGCAACGATAAAAGCAAAGCTGTGATTGGAGGAGTCACCATACCGCAAACGTAGCGCGAACACCTTCCAGAAAATGGGAGCTGAATTCTAATTGGCTAATCGCGGGAAACGAATGTGGTTCGGTTTTCAGCGGCCGTTAGTGGGGAGGAGCGTTGCGTGACGACACTAAAAACGGCTGTGTAGCAGACTACAGAGAGACGCAAACGTCGTAAATTGGAAAGGCGTTGGCGTAAGTCTGGAACTGAAGCAGATAAACTGCAATATGCCGATCAGTGTAGTAGAATTCGTAAGCCCTTGAAATCTTCAAAGATGAGTTATTACGCTTCGCTTATTAATGAAAATAAATCGGATTCCAAAGTTTTATTTAACACCATAGACCGTGTGCTGCATCGTACGCCTCAAAACCACTATTCATCCTGTGACTCTCCAAAGGAATTATGTGATAAGTTCGCTGACTTTTTCTGTGACAAAATTGTGACAATCAGGCATCAACTGGATACGTTATCTTTTACTGATGCTCCTGCTTGTCCATTGATTGATGACGCCTTTTAAAATTACATTTGAATTAAGCAAATTTTCTCCCACCTCAGAGGATGAACTTTCTGGTCTCGTGAAAAAAATCGCCGCCAAATCGTGTTCTCTTGATCCTGTACCTGCTTCTCCTTTCCCTTATTGTATGGATGATTTACTACCTATTATTAAAAGAGTCGTAAACCTTTCATTCAATTCAACTTCAATGCCAAGTTCCATGAAGAATGCAATGTTGTCTCCTCTGCTGAAAAAACCGTCCCTAGACTTTAAAATTTTTTCTAACTTTCGAACTGTATCTAACCTGAAGTTTTTGTCTAAGGTTATTGAAAAAGTTGCAGCCATGCGTCTGACGGATTATTTGTGTGATAATGATCTGAATGAAAGTCTCCAGTCTGCTTATAAAAAACACCACAGTTGTGAGACAGCGCTTCTACGTGTTCAAAATGATATACTGAAATCAATCGATGATAAACAATGCGTCGTTCTCTTGCTGCTGGACCTATCAGCAGCCTTCCACACCGTCGATCATAAGATCTTGTTACACAGACTGCGATCCAGGTTTGGTATAAAAGGAAAAGCGCTTCCGTGGCTTCAGTCTTATCTTACGGATCGTTCCCAGTCAGTTCAGATTGATGGATTTACCTCTTCAGTTCGTCCGCTCAGATTTGGTGTACCCCAGGGGTCCGTGTTGGGTCCGTTGTTGTATCTGTTGTACACGGCCCCACTAGGTGACCTAATACGATGGCATGACATGGACTTCCATCTATATGCTGATGATACCCAACTGTACACCACCTTCAGTTGCGATGATAAGGATGATCTTACCACTACAATTTCCCGGATTGAAAGCTGTCTTGTCGATATCAACAACTGGATGACTACTAACAAACTGAAACTAAATACTGACAAAACGGAACTTCTCATTCCCTATTCTAGGTTCAGACTGCCCCCACGGCTACCTTCTATTAACATAGGAACTGATATCATCAAGCCTACAAACAAGGCGCGTAGTATCGGCGTCATTTTCGATAAAACCGTAACGATGTCTTTTCACATGAACAACATAGTTAAAGTGGCATTCTACCACCTTAGAAATATAGCTAAGATTCGTAAGCATATCAATGTCACAACGGCTGAAGTTCTTGTGCACGCATTCATAAATTCAAAGCTGGATTTCTGCAACTTGCTTTTACATGGTCTTCCCAAGTATGAAATTAACAAACTGCAAAGTGTCCAATGTAATTTACAAGGACAGAATACCAGAACCAAAAATCCAAGTAAACCACTTAACACGGTGCGCGACATAAAACGAACTCGACGAGAAGTGAAGGAAGTAACATGAACAGATTTATTGAACCAGAGATCAATGTTCGTAGCACAGAGGTCACAACTTGATATAGAAGAATCGACGGGGTCGATTGACAAGACAAAAGGTCCTTAAGTTGTGAAATCGGTACAAGTCGTACAAAGTCGGTTCGAACTGAAAACGATAAAATCGAACGAAAACTTAGCTAAAAAATACATAGAGTGCAAATATATCTGACTAAAAACCGATGATACCAAATAGCGAACGAGAACTAAATAACACTAGAAAATACATTAAATCAGCCTATAAAGTTATTAAAGTAATACGACGATAAAACTGCTGGTATCAATCACTCAGCATACTCATGTTGAAGAGTAGGGCATAAGACCCTTAAAACCACTGTAGCTCAGTGATGACAAGACTAAATAGATTCCTCACATAAACAGAAAAGATTACAACAACGATGTTGCAAGTCGATAACCAAAACTAAGCTCTATTATTCCTATAATAACATCGATGCTGAAAAAACTAAAAAGAAAAGGAAAACTATACTCACTTTGGTTTACACACACACCGGTGTTATCTTGAATCAAAAGCTAAGCTGAACTTGATGGTTGATGAGCACGAGTGTAGATAGAAATGAAGCCCCAATGGCTGACAGAAGTTAACGCCATGAAGTCTACACTAGAACTGAACTAACTAAGATGAAAACGCTAAATTTGTAATAAAGAAAACGTGCTTGAAAACGATCTAGAAATTATTACGTATTTCCCAGGCGGACATAACAAAAAAGGGCTGGGAAAGTAGCCGTGGGCTTATCAATAAAAATCATCATTTATGTAGGCGATAATCGATTTACAATAACTACCGTAAGCACGTTTATGCACCGATAAGGGATAACGAAAAGAAATCACGTTTCAAAACCAACATCCAAAACGCTGCAGCGAGTGTGACTTACTCTAAAGGAGTTGCACTGGCTACCAGTGGAGCAAAGAATAATCTTTAAGATTAATCTTATTTGTTTTAAGATACTCAACAATTTAGCTCCTGATTATTTGGTTGACCTAATCCATGTTTATGAACCTGCGAGGTACCTTCGCTCATCTTCAGACAAGTGGCGTCTTGTTATTAAACCTTATAACTTAAATACATACGGTTTAAGGGCTTTTTCAGTCATTGCCCCTACACTCTGGAACGATTTGCCTATTGACATTAGATCGATTGATAATGTAAATAAGTTTAAATCTAAATTGAAGACCTTTCTTTTTAAGCGAGTTTACGAACTATCTTAGGTTTTTTATTTTGTATTTTTGTGACTATGTAAACTATATATATATGTAAATGATTTTAGGAATTTTATTTTTTATCCAGACCTTTTTGAAGCATTGTAAAGCGCTTAGCACTGAAAATTGTAGGCGCTATATAAATATTTTATTATGATTATGATTATTATTATTATTCTTGATCAATTTCTTTTCTTAAACCGGCCACCAATTGGTCAATAATTTACAATTGTTGGGAAAATGGTCACTTGACATATCACGTGACTTATTAACACAACATTTATACCTTAAAATGTTAAGGACGATGAGTTCTTTATTTGTGCCAAATTGTGGTTCAGCGCCATCATCTATGCCAAAGTTATAGCCCATAAATCATTTTCCACAGGTAAACCCTTAGTCCCAGGCCTTAAACTACTTGAGTATTAAACCAGCTATGCCAATCGATCCGCGGGCCTCACTCAACCGACTACACTGAGAGCAAGATGATAATCTTATTTTACATAAAATTACGTTCGACACGAAACCCATTTTGCCTCAAGATAAAAATGTTATGATTCAAGATTTGTTCCTTCCGTTTCTTTTTATTTTTCTTCAACTTGAAGGAATTAAATTAGCTGTTTGAATTTTCCGACCTAAGGAGCTGTCAAATCCCAAAGCCAAACAATTCTTTAATCCTTGGATAACAGTCAGATTGAAGACTTCGATAAGAGCTTTAACTTTATATTTCAGGCCCCAGTTGTTCAAAAGGTGGATAACGTTATCAACTGGATAAATCAATATCCAGCGGATAGCGCATGAATTGGTTTCCCTAATACTTAGCCGCTGGATTGTGATTTATCCGATGGATAGCAGTATATCCAGCTTTTGAACAACTGGGCCAGGTACAAACACGCCACAATCATCGACTTCAAAAGAAATTCTCTCTGTAAAACTGACAAAGAAAATTTGCTTATTTATTTGTTAATGATCAATGGAAACTAAGCAGAAACAAAGGTAAAAGAGTTTTAAAAGTCCACCTAAAGTTAAAATACTGTCTCACATGTTCATCAGAAGTAGTGGAGTATGGTTTGGACTCACTGAAAATGTTTATGTTTTGCTCCGCGAAATCCAGAAATCTTTCTTTTTAGCGAAGACGACTGTCATCCTACTTTATATTCGTTTGCGAACAATGGCTGGTCATTACGGCTTCTTGAGAAGACCAGGTAGCAGTTGTTTTTGTGAGTAATAAATTTATGTCTCAGTTCTTATATAATTTGTCTTGTTATCAGGGGCACCCAACGTCAATTTTCGGAAAATATCTGTTCGGAAGACGATTTGACATCTAGAATTTTCGGAACATTTGTTCTAAAATTTCTTTCTTGCCTACCTCTCCTAGGATTTTCGAACGTCTAAAAAGTGGTATAATTGCCCATTTTTAACGGATTTTTACCCTAAAAAGGTCACCTAAAATTTTCGGGAGCCCTTTTTCTGGCTGAAATTTTCAAAAAGGTAAGTTTTGATCCCTATAATTTTCGGATCACTAGACTTTCAGCTGGGAAATCCGAACAGATGAAAAATTTTTAGGTGATAAACATATGCCTATATCTACCGTTTAAATACTAAAAAAAGTTCAACAATGCTTTGTTTAAGTGGTTTTGAACTATATTCTCGTTGGGTGCCCCTGTGTTATTGCAAGAGAAATTTTCCTGCTTCAGTCGGATTGTTCGGCGATAACAAAAGTGCATAATTTTTCGCTATTTTTTGCTTACTTTATAATTAACTTGTTTTGTAAAGGATAAACAAGCGTTAAAAACGGAGGACAGTTTATACAAATTGGATATTTTTCCTACACAGACAAGTTTTGGTCTTTTGTCAGTCTTTACAGCAGAGTTTTCAACGATTGAGGCTCTATTATTTGCGAAACATCTTCACCGCTTTTGCTGTTAATTTGAGGAGGGTCGGAAAGGGGTTTTTCCGTGAAACGTGAACGCCTATTTTTAATTTCCGTGAATCGTGAACGAAAGAATTTATTTCTCTTAATCCTAGAACAAAATTAATCCTCTGGGCCCAGTTGTTCGAAGGCCGATCAGCGCTAACCCAGGGTTAAATTTTAACCCGGGTCTCTTTTTCTTGTCATCAAAAGCATTTTCTTGGACAATTTTCTCTATTCTTTTTACAGTAGCCAATCATCAAATTGTTGACGAAAAGAATTAAACTGAATTTGCTTTTTGATCGTTCATATCTGAATTCAAATTTCGAACTAACTCTGGTTTATCTTAACCCAGCTTTGAACAACTCGGCCCTGATTTGTGAAATATCTAATTTATTTCTCGAGATTCGTGAACATGGTCTATGATTAGCCAATTCAGTTTCGTGAAATATTTAACGCAAACTTTTCAGGAATTTGATATATAAAGGTCATGTCTTGGAGACAAGACAGACAGGGAGCAGTA